ATATCAATCATTTTGTTTAATGATTCAAGGAAATATTGAAAAAGCACTTTCTTTATTAAATAATCAATCTGAATTAGAACAAATTTTTAAATTAAAAATTGCTGCTAAAGCTTATAAAATTAATGATTTTAGAAAATTTTTTATTGATATTCAATCTAATTTAAAACCTTATGCTTTTATTGTTGCTACTGAAATTGAATATTTTATCTTTGGAAGAAAAACTGCTTCTTTAAAACTCTTTCAACTTGCTTTAAAACGTTATCCTAATAGTCTTCCTATTATTAAAGCTTATTATCGTTTCCTTAATTTAATTACTCCTTCTCGTTTTATCCCAAATGCTTTAAAATCTTATGGTGATTTTGATTTAGATCTTTATATGAAAAATGCTATTCTTCTTAAATTTAATCATCTTCCTAAACCAAAAGATACTAATCTTTTCCTTATCTCTCATCGTTTAATAAATTCTATTGGTGAATCTTTTGATGATCATCAAATCTCTGATGATTCTTCTCTTTCTCATTTCAATTGGAAACCAATCAAACCTGAACTCAATAAAGATATTCTTAAAGAATTGATTTACATCCTTCCTCCTCCAAATCTTTATCGTGGTAAAAAAATAGATATTCTTCAATTATTGGATATTCTTAATAATCTTGTCAATTAATTTTACTTAATTTACTTTTTTTTTGTTATTCAAAAACTTCAATCAAAGAAATTTGTTTTTACTTTTTTATGCAAGGGTTTTGAAATGAATTAGTTTAAAATAGTAAAAAGAAAAGAATTAGTAGAAAAGTGTATCTAAAAATAGGATAAATATATTTAAAAATATGTTTCATAATTATTTCTAAAATCAGAAAAATAAAAAAAGGAACTTTAAGAACAAATTTATGTCTGACGCACAACATTCACCATCTAAAGATACCCCTAAAGAACCAGCAAAAGATCCAGTAAAAGATGAACCAACTAAAACAACAGAAAAACCTGTTAATAATGAACAGATCAATTTAAAAGTAGTGACTCAAGACTCAACTGAAGTCTTCTTCAAAATTAAGAAAAATACTCCATTAAAGAAGTTAATGGAAGCATTTTGTAATAAACAAGGATTAAATATGTCAAGTGTTAGATTTCTTTCTGATGGTGTAAGAATTACACCAGACAAAACTGCTTCAGATCTTGGTTTACAAGATGGAGATGTTATTGATGCTATGATGAATCAAGTTGGTGGGTTTTAAAATAATAAAATTGAATAAATTTGAATGAGATGGTATTTGTTCTTGTTTCATTCATATAAAATAAAAAAGGTAAAAGAATAAAGGTATGAATTATTTTATTATTTGTTCTAGCAATAGTAAGGTTGTTTTAATATGTTGAGGTATTAAAAATCACCATCTAAATAATGAGTTGTAAATGTTATAAAGTGGTTTTTAAAAAAATAAAAACAAACCATCTCTAACTTCTGAATCTAGAAGTGAGTACTTCTCTTTTCTTTTGCCTTGATGTTTGTGTTTACGTTGTTTTTTTTCATAAGCTTTTTCTTCAGTATCAATCATGACAGTTGATGGAATAATTCCTTTTTCTGCTGCTTCTTCATCTTCAGCAGCAGCTTTTTTATACTCTTCATTTAATGTATTGGCTCGAGGTTTATTTGTTGGATTAGAGTCACCAACCATTTGGTCCCGGTTTATTGTTACAACAGAGTCTTTGTAAACTAATGTGACGTCTTGGTGGTGATCAACAGTTGGATCAATAAATGTTGGGACTTCATTTGATCCATTTTCTTGTGCCATAAATAATAATTCAGCACATGCATTTTTGTCGTAATTACAATCAATTAAAGCAGTTTTAATAATTTCAGGATCAACAAAAGGGAATAATTGTTGAAGTTCTTCTACAAGAGGTTGAAGAGACATGTAACCAATAAAATAAAAATATTTTTAAGTTCAAAAGAAGAAGAAAACAAAATAATAATAAAAAAGATATTAAAACCAAATTTATGAATTCTCATCAAAAAAACTAAATTTGATAATTATAAAATTACTCAATTGAATAGTTTATCTTACTGACTTCCTGTGTTATCTCCCTTGTCTGGAATACATCGACTAAATGTTATTCCACATCCTGCCCAAAGAAGAACTAATAAGAAAATTAATAGAATTGCACCCGCAATAAGGTATAACTTAATATTTTTCCACCACATAGCACGTTTTAATCGAGTTGCTGAAGACTTAAATCCATCTGCTGATTCAACAAGATGACTTGTTTCATCTTCTAAGTCACTTAAAACATCACCACGTTTTAACATTTTATCTATGTCATTATTAAGAATAGCTTGTGTTTCATCTTGTTCTCTTTTAATTTTATTAAATTGATGATTATCGAAGTCATTGTGTTTATCCATTAAGTTTTTAATTGTTTGATTGAAAGAAGACATTTCTAATGCCCCAGCAATAGAAATAGTGTATTGGTCAAACTGACTAATAAAAGCTTTTTTTATTGCCTCTAAGAAAACAAATGATTCTCTCATTGGGAATGTATCATCACAAACACATAATGCAAATATTTCTTTGTCTACAACTAATTGAAGTTGAAAACGATCATATTTTGATGATGATTTTGGAGATGAATTAGGACCGATTTGATTTACAATAGCATCAATGGCAGCACTAAGGGTACCAAGAGAAATGCTACTGGACATAGAGAGAATTGTTTTTCTATATCCAACACATCCGTAATAAATTTTACCTGACATTTTCTTTTTTCTAAGATATTAGTTCTAAGATTTTTCTATTAAATTTTCTTTTTCTTTTATATTTATTTTTTAGATGATTGTTTCTTTTTTATTTTATTTTAAAAATTTTTTTTAATAATAACACAAAATAACATAAAATTTGTTTTATATTACATAGAGAAATTCCACATATCTATCCCTCCATCCCTAAAACCTGCTATTGTCAGATTTCCTAATGCTTTAATTGCTGAAACTCCATTTTTGTCATCTACAACTAAATTTTGTTCATTAGCCCAATGTGTACCACTACGAATTACAACTGTTTTATCAGTTCCAATATATAATTTATCGTTAGAATAATTTAAACAACTTACTTTTGAATCGATGTTTAGTACTTCAATTGGATCAGTCACTTTACGTTCATCCCAAATATGAACAACAGACTCTCCGCCAGTAGCAAAAGTGTGTTCGTCAAGTATTTCTAATGCATTGAATGTTCTAACATTTCTAATCTTTTCTATAGTTGGTATTGGTAAATTAGGATCCCAGATATGAATTGATCTGTCTGATGAAGTTGAAATAAACCTTGGTCCTAATGGTTTAACTGAACACACTTTCCTAAGGTGTTCACTGTAGGTAAATAGAATTGCTTGGTGAAGGTGATGGTAATTAATTAATTGGACTTTGTCTCCCCATGCTACGAACGCTGTTCCAGTTAATGGGAGAAAACCTTCTATTTTACCACCAACAATATCGAATGTTAACAATCTATCAGGTTCAGCAATTGGTATATATTTCACAGTTCCACATTTATATGCAATGGCTAATGTTTCATCAATAAATGAAGAAGACACAACACTACTATTTGGCCCACTGAATACTTGAGATGTTTTAGTTGATGGATTTGGTAAAGTCCATAACCGTACTTTTCTATCACTTGCCCCACTAATAAAATATCTAAGATTTGAAGAAATATCTAATGACCGAACATAATTAGTATGTCCATCTATTCGTTGTGGTTGAGGTAATGGAGGGTATTGTTCTTCTTTTTCCATTTGAATTGATGATGTAGTTGGAAGAAAAGCACTATAGGGTGATATGACTAATGAAGAAAGAATCATATGAAGCCTTTTAGAAGTTAATGACAATGATTTTTTATCTTTGTTTGGTAAGAATTGAATTATTTTTTTAAATAATTGAGGTTCGATTGTAGATAGAGTCAATGTTGGTAAAGATGAATATGAAATTGGATTAGAAACATGTTCGTGAGATAAAATAATAGA